CTCAGTGGGATCCAGCAGTCTTAACCTCCATGCCAACTGCTGGCCTGAGCTTGCTTTCTAAAAAAAAACATTTCTGAAATTATCCTGAGTTTGTCCTCCCTTGATTTTGGTTTGCTGTGGGATTCGTTCAAAGAGAACACGCATAGTAAGAGCAAGAGCTACAATCCCCAGTCTTCTCCTTACTCTCAGGCCCTGGTCGTGTAAGGTTCTCAGAGGAAGCAATAGCTTCCATTGGTCCCAACACCTCTCTCTCTTCCAGTTGAAGTGCAAATGTCATAGGGAGCAGGGAGTGCACAGTGGGGACAGGAGTGGGGGTGAGGAGTGGTAATTGGTGTGGAGGCCTCCTTTGGACCCTCGAGTGCTGACAAGTGCTTTGACCAGACATGGGGGATGTGGAAGGGGCACTGTGCCCTCTGGCTTCCTCTTGCTCCCAGGCTGTCTTTGTGTTTGGAATCCTGTCTATGGAAACCTGTTGATGCCCAGGAATACCCACCTACCTCTCTCAGGATGCTTTGGCCTCTTTCCTCTTGTTATTTCACGGACAACATGTCTTTAGATTAGTAACTGTCTCAGGGATTCCTGCTCCCTCTCTTGACAAAGGCAAGACTTCCAGGCATTTGCAGCCTTCTAAATAGCAAAGGTACAAAATGCTCGGCTGTTAGTTCATGTTCAGAGTCAAGAATGTGGACACATGTCCTGGAGCCCGAATGCTGGCATGTGCCATGGGAGGAAGAAGGTTTGCATTACAGGGATTCCAACTCCCTGTCTTCAAGTATGGATGGTGGGGAGGCAAACACATGGCTGAGCCTCTGGCTCTGTGTTGTACCCAGAATTTTGGGTTCTCACAACTGCCTGAGCCCTTTGGCTTTGACTCTTGGTGAATTCAGCCCAAGGACAAGGTAGTCTCAAACCTCTGGAAGGTGTGCTAGACATGATGTTATATACCCTCAACCTCACCATCCTTTCCCTTGTCTTCATTCACAGCAACAGAGGCAGGATTCTGCCCTGGGGCTTCTTTAGTCAGGGAGGGAGAGTGATGACAAGGAAACTCTTCCCTGTAGTGGTGCACGTAGAATGGCTGAGCCCCTGGGGTCTGCAGGGGCAGCTCTGCCTGCAGTGCAACAAGCATGTCCTGATGTTCAATAGATAGTAAGTGTTCTAATCCTGGGCCATGTGGCTAGCAGGAGAGTGTGTTAACTAGCCTTTGGCTCATGTGCATTGACTCAGTAGATATTTTGGTGAGTTTGTTCTTGTCAAGCACCAGAAAGAAAGCAAAAAGTGAGACAAAATTCTGGTCTGCACAGAAGACAATCAATAAATAAATAGCCAAGTGAAACATTTCATGTAGTGATAAGTACTATGAAGAACACAACACAGGTTGATAGATGACAGTAGCTAACTTGGGTGCATGGCCACTGGTGGCCTTGAGGAGGGTGGTGGGGAGAGGCCTCAAGGAAGAGGTCTCATCTACAATGGCATCTGATTCACAAGAAAGAGGCCATGAGACTTCTAGACAGCACTTCAGGCTGAGGACACTTCTGTCCCAGGTCTGGGGTCGGGGTGGTTTCCTGTCTGACCCTTCTGGTATTCCTCAATGCATATTACTCTGTGTTTACCTCCAGTGACCTTGATCTCTATTTGAGATTTCTGTACATAGCTCAGATTTAAACAAAGGGGGTGAGTTAAGAAGAATTTCAGGTAGGCCAACCAGTGGTGTGGTAGTTAAGGCAACTGGATCCCACATGGCCAACTGCAGGGTTGGAGTCCTGGACCCAGTGTCTTGGAAACCATGATGAATGTGGGCATGTGCATGCCCAAAATCCCAATAGGAGAATTGAGTAGAAGGGATTGCAGCATGGCCATCCCCTACTGGGGGCTACTTTCCGACTTTACCTCTCTCTTTCTCTCTGGTGAGTGCACTTGCCCTATAGTGAAAACTGAAAAAGAGAAGAATTTCAGGCATCTAAGATTCAGAACACTTGCCTCCTACCAATCCTATGTGAAATAAACTTCTGAAGACATAATCCATGAAAAAATGTTAAGATCCTCAAATGCCAGCTGGGTATGGTCATGTAACCAGACATTAGCCAATCAGGTGTGCCTGATGGGAATTTGAATGTTGAGGGAAGGACCCAAAGACCTGGAAGCAGTTAGAAAACTGTGCTTGGAAGTGGTGAGAGCCAAAGGGTTGGCCCCACAGCCTGGTGGTTAAGGGAGCTAGATCCCACATAGCTGATCATGGTTCAATTCCTGGTTCTGGTGGCTTGAAAAATATATTGGGCACATGGGAGTGCATGGCCCAAATTCTAGAAGAATGGAGAAATGAAGAAAGAATTGTGGTGTGACCATGTATTACTGAGTGTGAGTTCTCTCTTTCCTTCTCTTTGGCAAGTGAAAAAAAAAAGAAAGAAAGAAAAAGAAAGGAAATGATAAGAGCCTCAAATTTCGTCTTTCAAAATGGGAGCCACCCAGCAGCTCTGGCTCAAGCTAGACAGAGCTGTGTATATGTGTAGATAGTGTGTTTGCATGTCATTCATTGCTCAAAAGCCAGGACAGGTTCTGAGAAATGCATCACTGGGCAATTTTGTCACTGTGTGAACATCGTAGAGTTACACAAACCTGGAGGGTCTAGCCTGCTACATACCCAGGCTACATGGTATAGCCTATTACGACATCATTGTATATGTGATCGCTTATGAACTGAAACATTGTTTTGAGGTTCATGAATGTATACATTGTTGGAACATATAACACTGACTGATAAAAAATTTTAAAGAATTATTATTAGAAAAAAAAGACATAATGTAGAAATATGTGGGTGCAACAATTTTAGACAATTTTAACAAGATACTGGAGCTATATGAAGAAGGAAATGGAATAGTATGATAAGATTCTTAGGTTGTTTGGAGGGACTAACCATGACATAACCATGAGTAAGGTCTTAGGTCTGCGGTATGTTAGAAGTATGCAAAAATGGAAAACACTCACTAATCTTGGCATGAAAACAATCTAATGATGTGTTCTTCCTCAGAAAAAATATTCAAAATAAATTACACAGAAAGTCTGAAAATGGGGTAGACAAAGGTATGAGGACAAATGTTTAAAAAATGGAACTTAGAGGGTTATATGACTATAAAAATAGAATTGAGGCAAAGCACATTACATGGATCAAAGTGGTACCTTTTATACTGAAGAATGTGACATTCCATCAAATATGTAAAGCTTGAATCACTTCAGACAATGACATCAAAATCTATTTAGCTTGGGCCCAGCAGGTGGCATGGTGGCTAAGTCACTGGATTCCCACATGTCTGACCATTGTTCAAGTCCTGGACCCAGTGACTTGAAAATCATGCTGGGTGTATGTGCATAGGTGCCCAAAATCCTGATAGGAGAATGAAGAGAAACGACTGTGGTGTGGTCATCCCTGCTGGGGAGTGATTTCTCATTTTCCCTCTCTTTCTCTTTCTCTGGCAAGTGCATGTGCCCTATGGCAAAAACCTAAACAAACAAAATTGTGTAACTCAAAAATTGTTCGACAGAAATAGTAAGTAAAGACCTAGATATAAAATATTATATTTACGACACCTGTGTTTCAGAACATAACAGAGAAAGAAGACACCCATGGAGTATTTATTAAAACTTAACAAGTAATAGGATACAAAGAAGAGGTGAATATAAACTCCAAAAAGTAGAACAGCTACGTTTTCTGACCAAAATGCAATAAGACTAGGAATTAAGAAAGAAAAGGAAAACAAATAAACAAATACAATCTATACACCCAGAAGTTTAAGAGCAGTTTTCCCAAAACTCTTGGAATAAAGATGAAATCAAAGTTGTATGACAGGCTGTTTAGTAACAAACAACATGAGGCACAGCACGTAAAAACAGTGACAGGGCCAACAAGGGACAGAAAAAGAGACAGTCTTACTTATTCGAAAGCATGAAACAATGAAGACAAGTCAGCCAATGAGCTAAGGAAGCCATAAGAATGAATGATGTGGGAACCAGCAGTTAGCGTAATGGCCATGTCGCTGGGCTCCCACGTAGTCAACCGTGGTTCGCGTCCCGGACCCGGTGGCTTAAAACTCACGCCGGGCGCGTGTGCGTGCGTGCCCAAGATCCTGAGAGGAGAATGGAGGAGAAGGGATTGCGGCGTGACCATCCCCCCTGGGGGGTGATTTCTCACTTTCTGTCTCTATGTCTCTGTGTGTCTGGCGAGCTCACACGCCCTTTAGCGAAAATCTCTCCCCCCCCCAAAAAAAAGAATGAATGATGTAAAGCAAAGTAATAAGTACACCTGTAATGAAACAACAGTAAGAATATATTAGAGTTGATCAAGAAAGCTATATGAAGATTCTTTGAAAAGATCAGTTCAAAACAAAAAAACCTCTTGACAAATTTGATATTAAATTGAGCTGAAGGACAGAGAGAAAGAAAAAAGAGAAAGGGAGAGATGCAGATAGAGAGAACCACAAATGATGAATATAAAGTATTGGAAAGGAGTTTTAAGTCAGGGAAGAGCAAAATATTTCTATAACTAACCACACAGTAAATATACCAGGCTTTTGGGGCCACATGTAACCTCTCTCGACAGTGTGACCCTGCCATTGTAGCTCAAAACCCGCCATAAGGGAACCAGCAGTTAGCGTCATGACTATGTCGCTGGACTCCCACGTAGTCGACTGCGGTTCGCGTCCTGGACCCGGTGGCTTAAAACTCATGCCGGGCGCGTGTGCGTGCGTGCCCAAGATCCTGAGAGGAGAATGGAGGAGAAGGGATTGCGGCGTGACCATCCCCCCTGGGGGGTGATTTCTCGCTTTCTGTCTCTAATGTCTCTGTCTGTCTGGCAAGCGCACACGCCCTATAGTGAAAATATCTCAAAAAAAAAAAAAAAACCCGCCATAAATAGTAGTAAATGCATAGCATGGCTGTTTCAATAGAACTTTATTTTCAAAAACAGATAATCTACTGGATTAGATATATGGCCCATAGTTTATTCATCATTTTGTTTTTTTAAATTTGATTTACTTATTTCTTCCATGAGTGAGAAAGACAGAGAGAAAGAAGATCTCCAACAGAAACTTGGTACCATAGTCCACCCAGCCTTCAGCCTTGATGGCCTCATTTGGGATGACCTGCAGTCCAGATGGCCCCACAAATTCACACTTCGACATAGAATGTGTTCCAAACACCTAGTAATGATATACAAAGAAACGACTAAGACAATCAAATCCAAAACAAGATTAATATTTCCTAATCAAAATGAAAAGAAAAAGAAAACAGCCTAGACGAATATGCCAAGTACTGTGGTGCTGATCCGAGCTGAGGTGGTGTGTGCTCTGCCCCAAGTCTGACGGCAGGCATAGGTGGCTGGGAATTCAGGGCATTCTCGCAGGGAGCTGGAATTGCTCTGCCTGAGTCAAGTGGCCGGAGCCCTCTTCTGATGAAAGATGCACGAAAACTCTACTGTGGTTGCTCCTGAAAGAGGCTGCTATGTCCCAGCTCTTGCTAATCTTCAAGCATAAGGGCTAGAGATATTAATCCTCTTGCCACTCGTAGGTCAGTCCTGCACTAGGCAGAATGTCCTTGTTTGGAATGTCATTATAGGTATAATGACTATAATCTGAAGTACCAGACTGAGTGGTACTTCATTCATCTGGTACTTCATTTATTTTTTGTGTTTATTTATTTATTCTAGAGAGAGCAAAATCTGGAACAGAGTTCCCATGCCACGACCCACCCTCTCTCTCAGCTGAGCCAGATCACAGGCATGCACACAGGTGTCTGGCATGCTCCAGATGGTCCTGGGATGCAAACCCACAACCTTTCACACGTTGGTCCAGTTATGTTACCAGTACCTATCTCAGATTCATGGTACTTTGGAAGATGATAATATGAAAAAGTTTTATCACAAGATAAGAAATTATACAAAATGTCCATCATTGTTGTAGAAGTTTGTTATGGAAAAAGAAGTTTAAGTGGAACAAAAATATTGTGTCTGTTTAAGTGTCTTAAAACAGCATGTGATTATTTTCTTTTAATTTCCCCGGGCAATTTCCCCAGGTCATGAGTCTAGGTATGGCTGGGTCTTCTACTCAATATCTCATTAGGGAGCAGTTTAAGTGTTGGCTGGCTGGCATGTCCTGAGGTCATCGTCCCAGCTCATATGATTGGCAAAAATCCAAATTTTCCTTTCTTCTCTTTGACCATATGGAGTTTGTATTGATGTACTATCACTGCTACAATTAAATCCATTATATTTCTTTCTCATTATATGTAAATGCATGTGATCTTTATTATTTATCTTCTCATTTTTATTTTATTTTATCTCCATCATACACCTTCTTTTTTTAAATTTCTTGTGCAGAAATGGTTTATAATTATCCCACTTCTTCTCAAACCAGTTTTCCTGTCCATGCCATAGCTCCTCTCCTCCGGGACTCCCACCTGAAGTTACAGTGTAAGTTTTGATGTTGTCTCAGAAATTTCTGAGACAATATTCGTTTTCTTTTAAATCTTTCATTTTCATATTTCTTGTACTAAATAATACCAATTGACCTACCTAAGAATAATATGAATCTTTGTTCTGTAATCTCTATTCTGTTGTAAAGCGCATTTAGTGTTTCCTTTTTATTTCAAATACTTTACCTTTTCATTCTAGAATTTTGATTTCAATGACTATTTTGATTTCTTGCTGTAATTTCCTATCTGTTCTTTAATTACAATTGTACTTTCATTTAGGTTATCCAGAGTTATAATAGTTACAATAGTCACTTTGATATTCTTATCCACTTAGCAAAATCTAGGTCATGTTTAGCTGGCTCCTGTTGATTGCCTTTTCTCTTCGACTTCTTTATATACTAATTTTGAATTGCAACCTGAACATTGTGAATGTTCTATTGTGAAGACTGGATTTTCTAACTCTTCAAAGGCTGTCAGTTTCTTGCTTACAAGGTAAATGTCTGGTTATACTAAACATGTAAACTATGTGTTGGGAGGCAGCTCAAATCTCAGATAAGTTCTTTCAGACTTGGCTGGGCTCCTTGAAGCCTGCCCTACATCGGTGGGTTAGGAGTTCACCGGAGACCTGGCCAGAATTTATAGAGAGGACTTTTATCTCCCTTTTTATCTGACTTTCTCCTTTCTGGGAGACCTTTTTACTTTCCAAAGGTGATGGTTGTCTCAAATTTTATCCTCTGATTTTTCATCAAAAAGCAATGGATTCATTGTAGTTTTAGCCATTTTGAACCACTTAAGCAGTAGCTTACCTTCTGGTTGCAAGTTGTAAAAGTGAGAAATTCATCCAGTGCTGATCCATCATTCCAAGTATCACATCTCTTCAGAATCTGCCTGCTCCTGTTTATTCTCTGGAGACTTTAAGTAGTTGTTTATTATGTTATGTCTAGAAACAAACCTTTTTATCTGTGAGAGGCTGATCTGGATATAGCAGAGGCAATCTCCTTATTACTTCTTTACATCTAAATTTCTAAGCATATTCATTCTAAGTAGGCACATGCATGCAACTATTTCTTTATGAATTATAATGATGTATACATTTTATTATACATAAAATTATGCTCAAACATTTCAATTAACTTGTATTGCAAGTAAATATGTCATTTAAATGATAGATTCACAAAAAAATTAGTTATGTGTAGATTATGTCACTGAGAACTTATATTTTAGAACAGTAGAATAGCAATTTTAAGTAGTTATTTTGTAAAAAAATAAAAAGGGTGAGTGGATGTGATAGTGCTGAGAAACACTGACTATGAGGCTGTACACTTACTGATTATGGAGAACAAACACAAATGGGAATAACCAATCAACTTACAGCCTGGTTTCTATGTCAGAAATTTCTGAATTTTCAACACCAATATCAAATTTGAACCCTCAGTATGAAATGTGTCTTGGAGACGTGGTCTTGGATGACCCCCCATTGAAGGAGGGCTTGGTTAGGGCAATGGCAAACCATTAAACAGGAAGCGAGGTCTGAGAGAGACAGAGGGATAGACATGCTTTCCAACTCAAACTCTGTATTACAATGCACATTTAGAGACTCTTGAAAAAACTTGATGATAGAAAGTTCCACTAATCAGATAAACACAGCAAAAGTAGGCTAAATGGAGTAAAAATACTGGAATAACCTGACAAAGACTCTAACATAAGTTTTCTGGAATTCCTTAACATTATAAATGTAGATATGCATAATAATTCAAACTATGAATAAAATCAGGTAGAAATGATCGAAATAATGGTACATGCAATAAAGTATTAATTCGGCACTTTGTAACTAGAAAATATGGTCACTGGGATGCCCGTGCTGACAGGAAATTCTTTTTTTTTTTTTTTTTTTTGAGAGGTTTTTGCTATAGGGCACATGTGCTCGCCAGAAAGACAGAGAGACAGAAAGCAACAAATCACCCTCCGGGGGGATGGCCATGCCAAAATCCCTTTTCCTCCATTTTCCTCTCAGGATCTTGGGCACACACGCACACGCCCCCAGCATGAGTTTAAGCCACCAGGTCCAGGACTTGAACTGCGGTCGGCTACATAGGAGTTCAAGGACATAGTCATGACGCTAACTGTTGGTCCCGTCCTGCCTAACTTTTAAGAAAATTCTACTATAAAGAGAGCCAGTGAAACTTTAACCTCAGTATGAATTTATTCCTTGTTGTGAGTCTTTAAAATTTCTACCATAGTAAATAACTTTTCCCAGCTAGGAAATCGGCTATAATGACAGTCCTTTGGGTAACATAGTGCATGTTTCTGCGAAATCACACTATGTGCTTTGGAGATGTACAACAAAAAAAAAAAGCACAGGCTTTAAAATTGGGTAGACTTGGGCTTGCTCCTGAGTCTGCCTTTTACATGATGTGCAGGTCTGGAGAGTATTTACATGCTCTGTTTCCTCACCCATAAAATGGGGACAATATCAACCACTAATGTCTCACATAGAGACCTCAGGATTGAACAATGACGCCCAGAACATCCTCTCTCATAAAGTTGCCTTCAGTCCAGGTCACAGTTCTCTCACTCAAGGTGTCAAGCTGGGGTGCTTTGGAGGTGACCACCTGCTGGAGTCTTTTGTGTGATAGCAATTGAAGCTCGCATTATTCACTCACCTTTTTTCCTTGCTACTTAATCCAGTCCAGTCAAGGACTCCCCAGGTAGATGCAGCCAAGCCTGCCTGAGAAGATGCCAGCTGAATAAAGCCCTCACCATCCCCTTCACTATTTTCTATTGTTTGCACTTTGATAATCCCCAAAGCTCAGTACAGACGTTCACTATTGAAACAGTGCTCCATTAAGCAATAAGAAGTCACATGCCTGTTACAGGGCTGCTTTTCGAAACCGAGAGCTGGCTGTGGGTGCTGGCATGGACGGGGCAGATGTCAACGCAGGTACCTGCCTGGTGGAAGCAGAGCTGGCACCTGCTCCTGGTTGTGAAACCCTGAGCACTTCTATAGCAACTGCTTGAAAAGTGCTTTGTGATAGGTGCCATCACCTTTTAATTACCACTAAGCTTGCTTGGCAACACTTCCTTTCTTGGCAGCATGGGAAATAGTATTTTTGCAAACTAGAGGGCAGACTGGTGGTTTAATGCTATTTTGGAAGAAGAAACTGTCGTGCCCAGAGGGAAATGACATTGCAAGCTCCCCACAAGGCACGTACTGCCTAGAGATAGGCATTTCCCCATGCTTCTGTACGGTCCACGGAGCACTGAGAAATTCAAGGCACAGAATGAGAACATAGAGGTTTCTTCAATAGATTAAGAAATTTTCCAGGGAGGGAGTAGTTTGAGGTTACATCTTTCGGCATGAAGGAAAACCTCGAGAAGACCTTGATTCCATTCCGTTTCCCAGGCTCATGTGCTATCAACACAGAAAGAACACCTTTTCTCTTCACTTCCTTCTGCCAAGCACTTATTGGCCAGACTGGGGCCCACAGCACCTGGGGCTGTCTGGACTCCCAGAGTGTGTGAGAGCTTTGCCACTTGCCTTGCACAGATAACATAAACAAAATGCTTTCCAAAGCAGACAGACACTTGGGTAATTCTTTTGGAACATTCAGTTCACGATGTTCCAGTAAATTGTTGCATCAGTGAAGAAGAACGATGCAGGGCCTAGTGAAGACTTGAAAGCATACAAGAATGAGGGCAGCAGAGTAGCAAACAGCAAGGTGGCCATGGCCAATGGAAGGCCATGATCCTTATCAATCTGCAGAGGGTTCCACTGTGGGGAGAGGGAAGTGTCCTGCCTGAGTCTCTGCCTGCTGTGATGGGAATGTATACAGGCAGGGCAGCAGCTGCTTGTACGTACATGACACCCGGAGCTATGTGGAGGCTGATACGCAAATACATGGGACACCTCAGCTTCCCTAAGGGCTAGAAGGCGGCACTGGGTATTGAGCCAGCTGATTTTTTTAAAAAATTAGAAATACACTTAAGTTATTGCCCTTCAGTCCCCTAACCAACGGCACGGTCATGGAATGGAGCTTAGCCGACAGTACTATAAAGACTTCCCAAGTCAATTGTGTGCAGCAAAGTGAGGCTGAATTAAAGCCCAGAGAAGAGAAAGATAACTCCTGTGGATCAAGACCCAGTGGTCATGGCTTTTGTGTGCTGTACAAGGTCCTATGATTTGCAGGTGACAACCCTGACCCAGTGAGGTGGCATTCACCCGTCCAGTGCATCTGGCAGTGAAGCTAGAACAGCCACTTTCTATTTATTTATTTATTTTTTTTTCTGTCCCTGAAAAGTAGACAGCAAACACTGAATGATTTAACGAAGTTTTCCCCTCACATTTCCAGTAAGTTTTATGTTGATTTTAAAAAGCATACTAGGGCCATCCTCTCTTAAGAAGACAGTAGCCCCCTCTCTTATCCACAGTTTCACTTTCTGTGGTTTCAGTTACCTGAGGTCAACTGTGGTCCTAAAATATATGGAAAATTCCAGAAACAATCCATTAGTTTCAAATTGCGCTCCATTCTGAGTGGTGCAAGACCGATGAAATCTCATGCCTTGCCTCTCCATCCCTCCTGGGATGTGAATCATCCTCTGTTCAGTGTATCCACTCTGTGTATACCCCCTCCCCGTTAGGTTCTCAGTAGCCATCTCAGCAACCAGATTGAAAACCAGTCGCTATAGGGTCGAGTGCTGTTTGCAGTTCAGGCATCCACTGGGAGTCTTGTAATGTAGCCCCTAAATCATCTTAGTGATTTTCATTTTGACATTGGGTAAAAAAACTGACTTCTCGCTCTCCTAATTGAAAGAAATAAGCAAATGAAAGAATTTTTAAATTACCTTTTTTAAAAAGAATTGTTTTTAGCTAATTTTATTTATTTGTTATTTGTTATTTTTATTTTTAATTTGACCAGAGAGAGAGAGAGAGAGAGAAAGGGAAAGTGAGAAAGTAAGCCATCATGTCCGGGACTTGAATTGTGGTCAGCCATGTGGGAGTCCAGTGCCTTAACCACCACACCATCTGCTGACCCACTTAATTACTTTATTTAATTGCCAGAGAATGTGTACGCTTGCCAGAGAGATAGAAGGGCAGACAGGAAGAGTGAAAGAGAAAGCGCCACCCCCCGCCCCCAGCAGGGTGTTGTCATATCACACCCATTCTCTTCCATTTCTGTATCTTGTAAGGATTTGGGGCATGTGTGCACAGGTATCTGACGTCTTTTTTTAAACCACCGGGGTCAGAATTTGAACTATGGTTGGCCATGTGGAATCTGGGGGAGTGGGAGCTCACGAATGTGCTCACCTGAGTGATGCTGTATTTTCCGTAAGAACTACCCAGTAATCTGATCGTTCAAAGATGAACCAGGGTGACGGGGCTCTGTCAGGCAAACCCAGAAGCCGATGTCTGGATCCAGTCCAGGGCAAGTCCACACCCCAGTTGCTCTTACTGCCATGTGCTCCTTATAGGAGGGCAAGGCTAATGCTAGTACAGGAACAACTCCGGCGCTCAGAAGACAAATTTTTGGAAAGAGAAAGGGAATAATAGGAAAATCTGGTCATTGCCCTATGTAGGTGGCAAATATATCAGACTATATCAGACTAAAGCTGGAAAGGTGAGAACATGCGGTAGCACAGTGGTAATGCAACTGGATCCACAAGAGAAAGGTCCAGAGTTCACATCCCAGGACCTCTCTGAGCATGATGGGCACATTCATATGCCCAGGATGGGGTCAGGTGAGACTGGGAGTTGATTGTGGCATGATGACTCTGTTAGGGGTACTTGTCTCTCTTTGATGGAAGAAGTAAATAAATACACTTTAAAACAGGACTAAAAGAAAAGATTGTGAACTGTACGACTCTAAAAGGGCAGTAGAAATATTTACCCTCATCTCCATATGACTAAGGAAATTCAATGAGATGTCATAGAATGTTGGCAGAGAAAATAAACCCTTTATTCTGTGAAAGAAAAAAAAAACCCTTTATTCTGTGTGGAAAAAAAGAAAAATAACCTGCTTTCAACACATTGTGAACGATAGCTTTCTCTCTCCATATGTGCAATGCTTGAAATATACCAGTTTTTTAAAAACATGTTTGTTTATGTCTTTGGAGAGCAAGAGAGACAGAAAGAGGCAGAGAGATCACACCCCAAGTAGAATCTTGACGTGGCAATCCATCCCTCAGCCTCAGCCAGCTCTGGATCACATGCAGAGGCATGCCTGGTGTACTCAGAGAGGTCCTCAGGTGTGAACCCTGCACCTTCCCATGTGGGTCAGCCTCACAGAGAGTCACATTTTACCCTGCGCCCCCATCCAGCCCCACATGCAGCTTTTCAGTATATCCTCCCGTGTGCTTCATACCTGCTTGATTTCGACGGACTTCGAACATGCAGTAAAATTCTGACAGAAAAATGAAGGCATACTCAACAGTCACCATTCAGGGAGTGAAGGAAGAACTATTCCTTAGTGAACGGTGTGAGCCCTGGGTCACTAGAGGGGACTACTCCCTAGCGAACAGTGTGAGCCCTGGGTCACTAGAGGGGACTACTCCCCAGCGAACGGTGTGAGCCCTGGGTCACTAGAGGGGACTACTCCCTAGTGAATGGTGTGAGCCCTGGGTCATTAGAGAGGACTATTTCTTAGTGAATGGTGTGAGCCCTGGGTCATTAGAGAGGCTCACCACCACAGCGCAGTGTGGCTGCCGCGCATTTGGACTGTTGTCTAGACTGACCTCTGCGCAGACCTCTTACGCTGTCATGTGTGAGTGTGCATTGCTAGTAGAAAGACACAGATCAACATTCCTGCCATAGTGTGGGGCTTAGGAGAAGGCTGGCCAAGGAGAGTGCTTTGTACTGCAACTGCCCCCCACCCCACCATGGTGCCTTACTGCAGGGAAGTATGTCATCTCAGGCAGGATTCTTGGCTGCGAGCCACAGTGACAAGTCTCAGGGCACAAAAGGAAGGATGTGGTGTGAAGACACCAGACTCAGAGAGTCGGTAGAAACTGAGGATGTCCTGGCCCAAGACCAGTAACAACTTTTTTTCAGCCAAGGGGCTGAAAGTATAGGGGAAGGATGCATTGTTGGTGACTGCAGGGGTGTTGGGTGGAAGCAGGAGCTGCTGCGGCAAAATTCTCCTCCTCTGGCAGCTCCTTATTCCAAGTCCAGCGTGTGGGGCTGGGGGCACAGATCTATTGACTGAGTTGGACCAGGCCTCTGTGCCTGGTAGTGGAAGGTGGAGAAGGGTGGATGGGCCACTGTACCTTGGTTCCCAAAGCATGAGCCTCTGCCAGGTCCAGTTTTATGGGAAATACAGGACTTTTCCAATGAAGCTAGTGGGAAATGATCATTATCGGCGGCTATGGAGCAGTAAAAAATCAGCAAACAGTTTTTATAGCCAGTGGATCTAGAGCACAGGAAAGAATACACCCCCCAATTTATCTACCTGTAACACCGCGGCATTGGTGTGCCTGGTGAGAAAGTGAGAGGAAAAGCTAGAAAGCACCCCCTAGGGGGAATGGCCATGCTGCAATTCCTTTTCTTCCATTCTCCTGAGATTCTGGGGACATGTACATATGCCTGGTGTGATTTTCAGCTGCCAGGTTTGGGACTCACACCACAGTTGGCCATGTGAAAGTCGACTTTAACTACCATGCCTCCTGCTGGCCCCATCTTTCGTAGTATTTTTAAACCCTGACTCAGCATGTGTCAGCCCTTCCCCTTGACAGGAGAAGCCAGCTCCACTTCCCCTTCCTGATCACTACTGTACCTGGCACTGGTCTTGGAGTT